TTGCCTTTCAGAGAGATATATGAGATGTATTAGAGCAGTGTATTAGAACGCCTTTTGGCTTTGTTGCAGAGGACTATATTTCTAAAAGTACCAACATTCAGATATTCAGAAACAAAAGAGTTTCTTGTGCAGTCAAGATTATTAATAGAGATAAAGCACTTATTGTACCTGTTAATTTGAAGTCAGACTTCTTTTAAATAATTAAAAAAAAACAAGCAATCTGAATCCTGTTTGTAAATCTGGAGTGACAGTGTTGACACCAGTAGATACAGACAGTTGTAAATAACTAAGAAGAGACTCTGACTCAGTTGTCTGAAAACCAGAAGTCAGTGAATAGCCTCCCGTGGGACTTCAGTTTACATTCATGACCAGTAGCTATTTCAGGCCGACAAAGAAATTTCAGGGCTGCTTCTACTACTCATATCCACTCCAGTTCAATCGGATAGCCTGGTGCCATTTTAACCCTGTAGAAATTTGCTCCATTTCCTGGTTTCTCAGGCTGTAGCAAGGCTGTGATCTGCAGAAGAACTTCAGGAGGGGAAAAGACCTTAGATCAAAGACCCAGAAAGGGAGGTAGCTTAAGTTCTTTTTAATGCGCTTCAGTGAGAAAACAATGATTTGCTTGTCCCGAAGAGGCCGCTCAACAGTAACATCCAAGAAGTAACATTCAGCTCAGTTTGAATTAAACAAAATTCATTTTATGGAGAAAACTAATTCTATAGAAATAAAAACATATCTACAATGACCATGAAATGAGATTACCTACAAATTCTCCTGTATGAGATTATTGCTGATTTTATTAAGAAGGCCAGGTTGCAGAGGGAATTTGGATAAACCTTGGAGTCTTTAACAGATCCACGAGTTCTCAGTCACTGTGTCTTAAGGGTTTGTAAAAACAGAAAATGATTAATAGTATCTTTGGTGAAGTTCATAGATTAAAAATGTGCACTACGTAAAACAGAGATCCTGAATAGTTAACTTATTCAAGGGCTTTCTCATGTTTCTTCGTATGTCCATGAGCTTAAGGTAATAGGCTACCTCCAAAAAGTCTACAGAGTCTTCTGGCTTTTTTACTTCATAGCATAGTGATTTAAACTAGTATACTGGATTTAACAAGACAAATGACATTCATGTACAGTCTGAACCTAAATAAAAGAGTGAATTTAAAACCTTTCTTTTTCTGATAGAAATCAGAAAAGAATTAAATCCAAACACATCCTTATTATATATTGTTACTACAGTGTATAAGAAATGTATGCAATGCACTTAAATGTGCATGAAATCCGTAGGACATTTCAGCTTTCAACTTTTGCCCAACATACACATTAGTAATCTAAATGGAAAGTTTACTAATATATATTATCTGAATTTCAACATTAAAAGGAGTATTAATTGCATAGATTAAATATAAAGAAATTTTATTTGCTGATATCAAAAAAGTAAGTAGGTATTCCACTAATTCCAAAAAAAGAAATAATTAAACAAAAAAAAAACTTGCTTAAGATTTGTGATAAGTAGTGAGCATATAGATCTAGTTCTTCCCACATCTGGGTAATCTGAAGCATTGGCTTCAATTTACTAAGCATTGCGTAGGTGGTGCAAAGAGATCAGAGTGTGACTTGTCATGTTTATTAACCCTGTTAAACTAGCACTGTTTAAGAAACTTAGAAGAAAATATAGCCAATCCATTTTTCCAAATGAAGCTTAATTTTTATTAGGCATCCCCTGATCTGTAAATCAATCTTATATTTTTTTCTGTCATAATAGCTGAGCACTAACATTGGCTTCTTGCTTAAGTAATGTACATGCCTCTTGGTAGTGCTTCCACTGCTAATAGTAATGCTGCAAAATAAATCCTACGACAAGCTAGAAACGATTTTACAATTAACTTCTAAACAAGTAGACCATAATTACACTATGTTATCTCCATTTGTTTTTACAGGCTCTTACCAATGCTTCAGACAAGCAAATTATATATAGTGATGGGTGATATGTGGGGGGGGAGGGGGATGTTGCAAAAGACATATTTTAATGACATGAGTTTGAGAGGATCATGTAAAGGTTCATCACTTTGATCATTCCAGAGAGCTGTGACCACTGTTTCGTTGATTTCCTCTGCTTTGCTTTGCTTTTTGGCACTTCCTGTTAAACCATCTTACCTAGTTCATTGCGTAAGCCTAAAAGAGATGGGACTTAAAACACTGCAAGAACCCTTTGAATGGTCTAAAAAAATAGTTAGTTCTATACAAGCCAACATGGTTTCAATGTCTAATGTCAGATAATTAGCCAAGCCCACATCCAGATGGTTTGTACTATGAAGATAGTGTTAGTATCTCGATGGGCACAGGAAGTATTGGCAGCTGCTGTAGGTTAAGCAACACTGGGACGCAAACCTGTCTTTAGTCCCCTTTCTGAACTATTGACAACTGCCTGGAGTAAGCTGGGGAGAAACTCCTCTCTGAGGGAGAACATTACTTTGAAGAAAGTTGGGGAAAGTTTTTCTTCTTATCATCAAGCTTTTTCGGTCTTGGGTCACTCAAAATTACCCAGACTTCAAATGTTTATTGTTACCTAGTGATATTTAGCCTTCCTTTTTTTCAAAATGAGGTAGTGATTAACTTTCTGGGATAAATCTACTTGAATGTATGCGCACATGAGTTGAAGAAAACTAAGAAAATGCATTGCCAAACAGCAGTTGTTGTCTCAAAAAAGTATATATGGCTGCCCTTTTCTGTTAAGAGGCTCCATCTTGTTCCCACTGACCTCAGTTATATACCTGAGCGTGTTTGTATCAGCAAAGAGGGAGAAGGCGGCCATTTCCCACATATATTAAGCTGGAAGAATCTGCAAGGTCAGCAAATGTGAAGGCTTTTATAAGAGTCCTGAGTTGAAGATGCAAGGTTATGGGCCTGAAGTGACATGGCAAATGCCTATGTTCTCCACAGTGATTGAGAAAGAAGTAATAGCGAGGGCTTGTGAGAGAAAATGAAGAAATCTGCTTCAGCCATGAGGTGCTCATTGAAAGGATGACCAGACATTGCCAAGGAGACATAGACAGTTTGTGATTTCAGCCTGAACAGAAGTGGACAAGGCTGGATCAGAAATGGATCTATGAGTTTCAGCACAGAGACAGCAGCTGAATTTGTGACTGCAGTCAGTAGGTCAAGTGGGTTGAGGAAGAAGTGGAGTCTCTGAGATCAATTTGAGGAGAAATCAATGGAGAATTTGGAAAGAGCAATTTCAGTGGAATGCAGCAGACAGCTTTGTGCACAGTCAGCAATGAACTCCAGGCAGCAAAAGTAAACAACATTTTCAGTATGCTTACAGATAAGAGGGAGAAGGGGGATGAGATGGTAGTTGTGGATGCAAGCAAATTCAATGTATATTTTCAAAGTGGAGAAATTAAACACACACTTGTTTTGTGAGGATGGAGAGGCCAAGGTAAATGACAACATACAAAGAGTAGAAAAGAAGATAAGCAAGCACAAGGGAGAGAAGATCGAATAACTTGTTCCGCTTAGTGCTTGCATACGTTTTGCAGATCAAAACTGCACTAATTTGGGAAACAGTTTCTATAATCTATAAAAATGCATTTTATTAGCTTTTTTTTTCTTTGAATCACTGACTTCTAAAGAATGAGAACAGTCATAAATGCTATTGTCTCCACAGGCGGTAATTTGGAAATATAAGATGCATGGTTACATGATAAATGTATTTTCTTCATAAAATGTTCGCAAATCAGGTTTAAAACAAGGGAAAAATAACTTGAAAATATTCTGCACTTCAGAAAACAATAAAATGTCTTCTTATTTTTCCCTGGTAGGCCACGCAATGCTGATTACTTTATGCAGGAAGCTAAACGGAAGAAGCATAAAGCAGATGCAATGGTGAGAACATTTTCTTTCCAGTTATGTTGTTTCAAATTATTTTTGTAATGCAGTTTCTTCATCAGTGCAGTATTGCTGGGGTAATTATAAAATCTATTATAAGGATGGCTAGGCTTGTTAAATTAAGAAATGTTTATATAATCAAATGTTCATAGCCCAATAAACTATGACTTAACCAATAATGACTTACTGAGATAAAGGCCTAGATAAATAAAACTTTCTATTTATTCCTTTGCCTTAATTAGGAACTATAGGAATGGAGACTGTATGAGGTTTCCCCATACCTATCTGTCTTCTCCCCAGTTTAGCTAACTGCCTAGGCCCTGCATTTATATCCCCAAATTTGCTCTTGAGGCTAAGGAATTTGCACTTCCTTGTAAGAGCTTTAGCTCCCAGGACAAAAGAATCATAGTTTCATGGCAGACCCTTCCTAACATAATCAGAAGCTCACAAGAAATATGAGTAATCCTATAGGAACAACTTTCACATGAAGGACTGTTGCAGCAAAGAGATTCTTGGCCCTGGCTTTGACCTGTCAGAAAATGTAGCCAGTGAGACCCTCTTGAAAAAGAATCTGAGGTGATATGGAGCGTTAAAGAGATCCTTGTGTTCCCAAAGAAAACGGTGCAATGAGGTAGCCAGTGCTCCACCAGAGCTCCACTTTGCAGTCTCTTAGCTTTGTCTAAGGCTGTTTGTCCAGCACTATGGAGAAGCTCGTACAGCCTTAAAAACATTAGACTTCTGCGCTGGCAGATGCAATACTTAGGGCAGAACCCTGCATTAATATGGCTCTCTTGCAGGTATGCGTAGCTAGCTTCAGGGTTAGCCTTGCTCTGTTAGACAGACACTGCTGTCACAAGAGCAGGAAAAAAGAAAGGTAGCTCAGAGCCCCTGTTTCTTCATCTCTTTTTCTCAGCTGTGCAGAGTGTACAATGGCCAAGGAAGCAGGAGCAGGCCCTTAATATAGATACTAACACAGAGTTTTACACTCTACCTGAGTTTATTAGCGCAAATTTCCATGGTTTATTCAGTTCCATATTACTATAAAGTGAGTCTTAAATCAGAAGATATTGTGGAGAAGTATAAATGGTGCATTTTAGTGTGTTGCTTTAAACAGAATGGAAAAATCACTTAATATGCAAAGGAAATTCCGTCTTAGCCTGAAGAGAAATGTTTTTATAGTAGACTCCCAGAAACAGGAGGTGCAAGCATTATTCTCCGCTCTGCCAGAAGCATCCTGCATGAAAGTGACTTAGGGTCCTGTTTAAATAGCCTCTCACTGATTGAAATATCCTTCACACTCAGTTTCCCTCCACCGTGGAACAGCACCTTACTTATACCTTCTGACCTGGAGGTACTGCCTCCTCCTCCTTGACCACATTGGGATCCTGGGTGAATATGGAGACACTTTGAATCACCTTGCTGGGCTCAATACCTCCTACTTTGGCGCTGCAATATCTAATGTGGGCACTTAGAGAGAGCAGTCTGAAATAATGACTGTAAGTTTCTCTGCCCGTTAGTCCCTTATCTGTGAAATTGGGATAATTGCACTTTCACCCCTCACAAGAGCGGCGGGAGAGAAATATAATAAAAAGTTTGCGAAGTTCTCAGGTATGATCACAATGGGAGCCATATAAGAACCTAAAATAGATTGACGCCAGTGTGCCATTCCAAAGTTACTATTTAATATCTTTATCCCTAGAAGAGAATAAGGTCCATTAACCTTTCACTGTGTGCATCAGATTTCAACCAAACGCATCCAGTCCATTAATGGGCTTTATGTACCACAGGAGTTCTGACTGAAGAAGAGAAGTCAGGACAGAGAGGTAGAAGTATAATTCATCTATATCCATATCAAAAGTGAAACTCTGAGAGCAGATTAGTGGCATGTCAATGTACATATTTGTGCATCACGGAGGACAAATATGTGTATCTTTATAAATACACAAATACACACACACAGAGTCAAAGAGGTACTGAAAATAAGAGAAGAAATGGGGCAAGGAGGAAGGATTTGTGGAAGGAGAAGCTGAGGGAGCAGAGAAATCCCTGAGAGAGGAGGAGACTCTAGAAAGTAAAATCCTGATAAGAGAGGAGAGTGTGGTCAAGCGGTGCTGCAGATTGTAGGGATAAAAAAGAACTGAGAACAGAGATGAGCCTTTGCATAATGAAGACCTAGTGGTCAAAGCATTTAACTCCTGTTCTCTTAGTTCAAGATAGATAGTCATTACCTTTCTTTGTTTAGTGTTGAAAACCTGCATTTGCAAACAGATGTGAAACACTTTTTAATGTGAGGATGCTTGAAAGCTGGAACAGAAGGCCTGATGAGTTTGTGGAATCTCCAGCACTGGAGGTATTTAAGAACAGACTTGACAAACATCTGTCAGGAATATCCTAGGTAGAGCTGATCCCCCCCTTGGACACAAAAGTATGGACCAAATAACATCTTGTAGTCTTTGGCAGCTCTACTTTCTATGTGTTATGAATTTCACTGATACTCAGGTTTTGATGGGCTTTAGCTTTCTCACAGCAAAATTTATGAATCTGAAGAAGTACCAACTTGCATCAAGTTTATAATTCATGTTAGGAAAATCCCATCACATGTAACCATATCCTGATGATTACACTGTGTCCTTCTAGGTGGAAAAGTTTGGAAAGGCACTGAATTATGCAGAAGCAGCACTGTCATTCATTGAGTGTGGAAATGCAATGGAACAAGGCCCAATGGAATCTAAATCCCCTTATACAATGTATTCAGAGACAGTTGAACTCATCAGGTAAGAAGGAAGGAGCTGACAGCAAGGATTGTCCCGTTCATGCAAATATGCTATAATGATAGCAAAGATGATATAATTTGCTAGTTACAGTAAAAAGGGAGAAATGAGGTCCTCCCAGGCACCAGGTCAGTCATATGTACCATATATGTATTATTTGTGATTGCTATGGAAACTAAATTGGGAAACCATGTAGAACACAAAATAGACAAAGCTTTTCATATTACTTGAGTTGCAAATTACTTTGAGAGTTTAATGATGTAAGTCCTACTCTCCTCAAAAGGGGGAAAAATGGGTACATTATAACAAGCACTCTCGTGGTGTGGTGGTTTGCAAAATGTTATAACTTATGTTTATGACTGTAGTTTAGTGGTTTCCTGAAGGAAGACGTGAACAGTGGTAGAAAAGTGGACATTCAAGGCCCATTAGGTGTCTGTGCTCCTGTTGTAGTCAGTGGAATCCGGAGAGCAATCCCTCTCACACCAAAGTGGACCCCTAGATTTAGTCAGCTGCATAGCTCTCCAAATGGTACCGCCTGGAATTCAGTCCCACCCTCAGTCCCTATGAGATGAGTTTCTGCCTCATAAGTTCTTTCTACCACTATAGCTGGTACTAAGAGTTGCTGTTACTGACAGTGTCAGTAGAGAAAGCAAAGCTCTGGTCATCCCAGAGTCTGCATGACTCTCTCCACAAGAAAGTCCATCCACTTATGCTAGCGGAGAAGGCTGTATTGCCAACGACCACACTTAATTCACAGGACAGTCAACCACGTAACTCTCATCAGTGCTAAGTTCACAGGAGGTAAAATACTATTTTTTAATCAGATTCATAGTGTAGCAAAGCCCCTAAAGCAATTGCTTTCTTTCGGACTTACGTGTTGTTGTGATGATTTTCTCACATACCTAAACAATTCCATTGGCATTTTTTTCCACTTTGGGCTGTCTTCTAATGCATTTCAGTGAAGTGAGGCCAGCTTGCTAACTGGAAGGCTGTTAAACAAAATGAAGTATTCTCTGTAAGAGAAGAGTATATCACATCTCTGCATTTCTTCCCTTCTTTTTTCTTACTTGCACCATCACACGCAGAGTAGAACTCTTTTTTTGTCTACCTTGATTTTTCTCGTGATAGTAAACATATAGTCCTAACTCTGGAAAATGGGGTTTGCTTGCAAATCCGTAGCTTTAAACAATGTGTGTAGCTGTGGTTGTGTTGCAGTGTGAATTGCTGTTGATCTCGCTCACTGCACCTCAGAAAAATAAATGGTTTCCGAGGCATGCCTGTTGAAACAAAATATTCAAACTGAATCTTTGTACAAGTATCAGGATTAAAGTTTGAAACAAAGATAAGGAAAAACACATTCAGCTAATTGTGGAGAACAGGTATGTTTCTGGAAGCGAGCCCAGAAGTATTGCATGTTGTCCTAACCTTGTCCATTGTTCAGGTATTCAGCTGAAAGCTGAGATTTCCAGAAACTAATTTGTGATTGCACAGCACATGCATTCTTGAAACAGCAGTGCTACCTCTGTGGATGTTTAATATTTATAGAATTTGAATGTAATGTCATATGAGCAAAAATAGCTCTGAGCCACATGTTCCCTCTCTGCTGCGCTCTGCTTGGAGGAGCAGATCTGGGTAGACACGTTCAGAATTAGCAGGGTGAGGGGAGCACGCTTCAAGGCACGCTGTTGTCTGCCTTCAAACACTGTGAAAACCTTGCTGCATGAACTCTGTGTAACTGGGTCTCCACAGCAGTGGAGGTTTAGTAGGGCAGCACAGTGAGCCAGGGAGCAATACCTTGCCAGCTAGGCTCCCCTCTGTACTGATGGATGTTCAAGAGAGTTCCTGCTGTTTAAAAAGCACAAGGAGGCATCATTAATTGCAAAATGGCTCCAAAACACAACCTGAAAAGCATAACATATGTGTAGTAGCTTGAGAAAATGAATATAATGGGGCAGATCTTCAAATGACATCAATCATCACAGCTCAACCAGGAGCTGACTGGTAATATAAAGCTATCTCAGTTAACTCACATTGGCCTTTTTCCTTTTGCTTAAGGTATGCAGTGAGACTAAAAACCCACTCAGGCCCCAACGCCACACCAGAAGACAAACAGCTGGCAGCATTATGGTTAGTAGATCAAGATTTCCTCAAAAGGCTTCTTTTCTGCAGCATGCCAGTTCTTTAAAATCAGATGCTGGGGGCAGTCAGATAGGATTACGTTGTCTATCACTATAAAGAGAATACTTTCTGCTTGAGGAAGGTCCGGCCCTTGTATAACTGCATCAGGTCTGCATTCTGTCTCTGTAAATAAGCAATTCATACTTATCGACTGTGACAGGTCAGCTATGGCAAGTCAGCATAATTAATTTTTAAATGCCCGATGGTTTGTTGTTTTTATGAGTGATGTACTTTTGTACCAATAGCTTGGTAAGTTCTTTTGTGGCTGACGTTTTAGGCTCAGTAATCGTAAATTGTATTTACACTATATGAAGGGAGATGTTGTGATGGTGATAATTAAGCTTCTTGCATTACCTTCTAAATTGAGATTTCTAGATATATGCACGCAGCTTAGATTCTACAAGGTGGTTGCTGATTGCTAATAAAACACTAAAAAGTTATGAAAATCAAATTTTAATTTAATATCTATGTAGTTAATACATAAAGTACCTATTACATGGTTACTGATTTTCAGTAAGTGGGCATTTACAATCAGCAAGTGTGTTTTTAACATCTATTAACCATCTGTTAAAAATCCAAATTATATGCATCTTTAGGCTCCATAAATAAAGAGTCCTAATTAATCATTTGTGTAAAAAAGAACACAATATTCAGAGACATATTTTTTTGCAATGCCTTTTCTTTGTCACTGGTTTGCTGTGGCAATCAGGAGCACAGAATAGATTAATGGGACTTGCTTTAAAAACACTTAGGTGGGAGAACGACTGAAAATTGGTTAAAAAGAAATAAACCGGCATTATGAAGTGTTCTGCAGAACTGCCACAGCGCCTTAGCAGGTGGAATTGAATCCAAATTCATGAAGCCACTGCATCTGTTTAAGCAGAAAGGTCAGCGCGAGGGAAAGCAGACGGTGCCTTCTCTCAGCGATGAATAGCAATCCTAACTCACCGTCTGCCATCTAGCAGATGAGCTGACACCATTTGCATATGTACTGTACCTGTGAAGGTGACAGAGTGAGAGTTATGATGACTGTAAGTCCATTGAATCCTCTGGCTGCTCCCAGCACCAGCCGGGCACGGTGCCACACAGTTTGCGCACCTGACTCCAGACTCCTAAGGAGAGACTGTCCTCCAGTGGTGAAAGGCAGAAATTCACATTTTCAATTTAGAAAAAGAGGCAGTGGCTGTGAATTATAGAAACCCTGGCTGGGCTTTTCAAGAGCAACTTGGGAATTTGAGTGTTTTGATGAGTTGTTGGCAGCCCCGCAGGGCACGTTAGTATTCCTGAACACCGTGAGAAGGGAACAACTCTGCGCTTTCCAAATTCACGCCTCCTTCTGCTGTTTCCGATTGGGTTCCAAGATTAAATATCGCTTTTAAAAATAAGGCCTCTGCTGCCAAGTGAAAAGTAAAACATACTAGGCTTTTGTTTCAAAAGCTATGTTACTGTGGTGCAATCCTATCCTGCCTAATCAAAAATCTTACTAGGAAGAGGCTGTGGTAATTCTTGATTTTGACCAATACGTCTAAATCCAATAGCAAAGACAAGAGTTTGTGTATCCTGAATGCTGATTGTCAGTTATCTTTATGTATGAGTATAATTAATTTGCTACTATTGCTTGTTTACTTACATAGCATTATAAAGGTGTCTGGCACTCTGCAGACTGACAAGGATCAAGGGGGCAGACAGTTCCACTGCAATACGATGAGTTTGTCAGCTCTCTGATGATTTTCTCTGTGGAAAGAACATGGCCTAGGAATACTCTCTAAGCTCCTACATAGTTTCCATTCTGGTTTCTCATGAAGGAGCTAGGCCGGTGAAATATGGGCAGGTCTGAAGCTTCCCTGTTTCCTGGTCATCTCCAGCTCCTGGAAGAGACCAAAATAGACCCAGGATGGCTCTAGTTTATTATTATATCAGCTCCTGCCCACCATAATATAGTCCCAGGATAAGGTGCCAAAACAAGAAATATAAAAACTATATATATTGGGTTCCAGGCCTGTTAAAAACTCTTTGTCGGGGAGGCCTTTGGTCAAATGGACAGATTTCAAGTCAGAGTCAAGGCCTGGGGACCCAACTCTGCAAATCCTTCTTAGTACGGAGGTTATTTAGTACCTCACTAGTAGCACCCATCGTAATGTGGCCTGCCATGGCTGTAATACCTAGCCTTGCTCATGAACCCGTGGCCAAGTGTGCAATATTGTAAACAAAATGGAACAAAATGGTGATAATAATAGTAAGCAAGGTGCTGTCAGCTTTCCAATGTCTGTTAGTTTAAGAATGAAAGATAATTAATTAGGATTGTTGTTTAGTTATTATTCAGGGGACACACTTTACCTTCTGTTCTCCTTTTGTTCTAGTTACCGCTGCCTGGCACTTCTGTACTGGAGGATGTTCCGACTCAAGAGGGACCATGCTGTCAAGTATTCAAAAGCGCTTATTGAGTATTTCAAGGTGCTTTCTCTATGGCATGTTTTAGTATCAGTGCGTCATTATAGAAAACACAGCATCTTTTTAAAAACAGGTGCCATGTTGGGCTCAATTCTTCCCCAGTGAAGTCAGTAGGAGTTTTACCATAGAATCCCATGGCAACACTCAGTTTCTAGTCAGTCATGCTGCATTCACAAGGGACCCTGTTTGCAATACACAGATCACGTCTCTCCGTAAGAGATGGATTGTTCATGCTACCGAAGAAGCATATTCAGATTATTCTTAGTCAATTGTCTAGTGCTATTCAGCTGTGTTCTGAATAGTTTTTGCAGATTTTGCTCTAGGAAGCCCCTTTAGGATTACACTTCACACTAGATTCCTGTAAGTTGAAGACTTTGATCAACTTCAGTCGTTAGCTGCAGGGCTTCCGTTTAGCAGCATCGATAGGTAAGACAGTGCAGTGGGACACCTTCCTTCCCTAAGGAACTCACAAACAACCCACACTGACTTCAGCTGTACAAAAGCGTCAGAGGACCACCTAGCTGCCTGCCCTGTGTTTGACACAGCACTGCTGGCTCCCCCTTCCTGATCCACTTCTCCTGCTTCTGCTTCCATTCTCCACTCTCTGCCTGGTGCACAGCCTGGTTATTTTGAATAAGGCAGGAAGTCATTCAAAGTACTTTAATGTATTTTACCTGAGAGTCAACCTTTCTCTGGAAAATATCTCAAGAACAAAACCTTTCTGGGGGAGCCCACCAGTCCATCCAGCATTTGCGCTAGCCTTCATCTTTCTAATCAAAAAAATACATATGTCCGAGTGCTCTAAGACAAACTGTTTTTGTGGACCCTGAATAGCTATATGTCTCTGGATGCAGGGCTCATCTTTTTTTTTTACTTTTTGCAAGGGGATGTACCTTGAAATGAAAAACATCCATCCTTTGACATTTTGGTAATAAAAAATTTCAAATACAAGCACAAATGTTCATGACCAGATTTTAAATGCATGAAGACAGTGCAGGAAATTGACAGATCTGTTATTGCCAAACTGAAATTGAAGTCACTGTAATCGCTTCTAAAAATTTAGCAATATATAATTCAACATGTTATGTTTCTCTAACAATGACTTGATTTCAGGGGAGAGAAATATATGCCTATTATAGCACTTTATTTTTCTTTACCAGTTCAGAGAATACCTGCATTAAGAACAGGATGGTCAGGCTCTCAACCATGTAAAATGTCTCCTACTAGCAGGCAGGAACTGTTTCACAGCAAACATAAAATGGACTTATACTCTGTTATAGCCAAGATGAGCTTGTTTTTTGCAGAGCTCCTGCTGATGTAATGATAGCATAGATTCACATTAGAAAGTATTCTCACCTTTGAAAGTAAAAGTGGAAAAAAATCCATTTGCTATAATTTTCAGTGGAAAACAAGCCAATTCTCCACTCATTTCATATTTGGTATCTAAAAGCTTTCAAAACCAAGTGACGTGAAATGCTGACTGCATTAAGAACTTCCACATATACTATCAATCAAAGAAAGATTTTAAACCTTGTCACATGCACTTTCAGGGAAAATTAGATATACTTTTCTTTTAAAAAAGAAAAAAAGTGTTATTGAAATCTCCTTTTAAGCATTTTATTTCCATTTTAAAAAAATTAATGCAGGAGAGAATTAAAAGAAACCACAGACATTCAGGAGCTAGAAACATTTGAGAGTATAAAGAAATCAAGAGAATGGGCAGCAGTAGGCAGAGTGGGATAGGAGATGGTCCCTTACATCATTACATTCTCTTCAGAATCCTTATTCCCACTTTTCTGGTGGAGAACTGAGAGGAGGCTGGAGTAATATTCCTAAAATGATGAGAAAAAAGATATCTGAAGTTGTGTACTGTAAGGCAGAGGCTAGTTAAATTTACAGTGCAAGCATCCTTGACTTTAATTTTCATATTTTCCTTCCTCCGACTCTGTATGTATGCACTCAATTCTGTTTCACTGGAAAGATGAAGCCCAGTAGTCCTGAGGCAGAAAAAAAAAAAAAAAAGACCTAGACTTCTGTTAGAGGAGCAAATGCCAAGAATTCACTAGCTGGTTCTGTTTAGGACAGCAAAGGAGAAGAAAGAAAAGAAAACCCATTGAAAGAAGAACCCATTGTGCACTGTGGGACACCCAATAGCTTATTATTCATACCGGTTACCCGGGATGTAGAAGGCCCAGGGTCAAAATGTAGGAAGAATATCAGGGTACCAAGAGCACTAATGTGATCACTGCTAAAATACCGTTAACTAAAGATGTGGGGACACACAAGGGAGTTCAGAGGACATGTCAAATCTGAGAAAACAAGCTTTATGAAGAGAGGCTCGGGAGATTTGTCCAGCTTACTGGAGAAGAGGTTAAGAGAGGACATGATCATTGTGTATATGGAAACAGAGCCAATAATGCCAGGTGACATTCAGTTTTGCTGGCACAGGACCAACAAAATCCAAAAGCTAGCATTGAAGTTAAGAAAATTCAATCGTGAAATCCTGAAAGAGTCTGTTTCCTATCTGTGAGGTCTGCTAAACCTTAGAACAGGATACTAGAGAACAAGGAGGATAAGCGACATCTTAGGATTTCTATATGATCAGCTATATTTTCTTTTTTAATGTACATTAATTCAGCTCCTGGTAAAAGTTCCATGACTTGTTAGAAAAGGGAAACTGCTGATGGAGTGTCCTGGGGGATTGCTTCTGGCCTTGAAATCTGTGCATCTCTGAAGCCCCTTGTTTATCATTTTTCCTTCACGAGCCATGGGAGAACAGAAGTGTTCGTACTGCTGTTAACACTAGCTTGTAACTTGTACAGCTTGTAACACTTGCAACTCTGCATTTAAACTGTAAACAAATCTCCAGCTGCAGGATTTCACTTGTCTCCTGTGGTTGTCAAGAAGGGTGGGTTGTTCCCCAGTGCACAATTACCTGCATGTATTGCTTCAGGGGAGTGTATAAGGATGTCTCTTTCCTCTGAAGAAGCAGAGATTGGCCACTGCCAAACAAGAGGCTGTGGATGGGATGGACCAGAAAAATCTTGTCTCTTAGATTTCTGTTTCTTGCGTGCTTCTTTCTTACAGGCCCAGGATTAAATCAGTGACTGCATTTGGGAGTGGGAAGGAGTTTTTCTGCAGGCCAAATGGGCAGGAATAAATAAATTCCCAATTCTTGTTGATTAATTGCTTGGATCATTTTCGCTACTCAGTTCCCTACTATTGCCACCTTAGTTTCTGCTGCTCTAAATGTGGTTCGGAAGGTAGTCTCTTCTCAAGGAATGGCATGGGTTAAGTAAAATATACCAGTAAGAATCTTAATGACTATATAGATATACAAAAAATCATATTAAATGATCTAATGTCCCCATCTGGCCTTAAACCCTTCAACAAGAAAAACCACCACTCCACAAAAGTAGTTTCTCGCCCTGCAAATTCTATCTTACTCAGACCAAGTGGACCGAGGAGTCTCACAGATGCCAGGGAGATTTTATTAGCTTTGAGGATACAGGGAGGAGAGAGTGGGAAAAAGTAATCCATTTAATTTTCTCTCTCTATCACAA